TACAACAAGTCCAAACAATCCCCGAGCCGGTCAATAGTTTCGTTCTACAGTAAGTCAAGGTAGGCGACTATCAGGTCTTGCCGACCGGGTGTCCACAAGCTCATTTGACGTTGATTTCATTCAGTTGAATGACTAATCACACAAAAAGAACAACCAACGCCCAGTTTTTACCACCAATTATTTGATTAGCGAGGGCATACAGCATCGAGTTCACGCTTTCAATAGCTTGTCCAGTAAGGTCGTACGACCCCAGATTCAAATTCCCAACTCCCAGATTAATAATTCTCTTCTGGGGTAAGTTCAAATAGTATGTTGTTAGTTCATGAAGTCTTATCCACCGCAGTTTTGAACAATCAACAGCTATCAGGGCGGCGAAGTGCTCCCACAGCAAAGTTGGTTATCCAACCGTCAGTACCGCAAGCCCGTTCCTCGAGCCAGTTCAAGCATTCACCCGTTAGGGCGGAAAATTCACCCTACTGCAAGATTTGCCCGCTGCAAGATCAAACAGTCCTTTCTTTATTTGACACAACCCCTTCTCTCACCTTCTCTCTCACTCGATGTTCTCACTCTCTCCTGTCTTTCTTCGCGAGTGGCCCTGTTTTTCTTTCGCGGATACTCTCCCCTCCCCTCTCCGCTTACTTCCTCTCTTCGCCCCTCGCTGTAATTGTTTCCCCTTGGTCGTATTGCAACGTAGTAGGTAGAATAAGACGAAACCCCAAGTTCAATAAGACGAGTTCAGGAATTTGTACGGTCAAGCCTTGGGTTACAGAAAGTCAGCTTCCTGGAGTATAAAGTCTAGGAACCAGGCGTGAGCCAAGACCAAACAGTACACACGGACCTCACAACTTCACCGCCCCTTTGGCCCTCTATCACGCCCACTCGAACTCTGGCACGGGACATACAATCTCTCACAGTTTCAATCCTTCTCGCACTTTCTCTCTATGCCCCACATGCATTATCTCTCACCTCACGACGATACTCGACGCTATTAAAATGAAACAACGCAAACCTATGAGTTGGTCTAAGGTGAGGCCCGGAAGCCGGCTATCTCGCTCACTGACAGTCGGGGAAACAACGGAATATCTCGCCCGGGTCGCAGATCTTTCGGCTATACGTAAACCCTCTTGACGAGGGAAAAGTCGTAGTCAAGCTCGATGGCGACACTCGTATCGAAGACAGGAAGAGGAGGAAAAGGTGGGGACATTACCTGCCCGACGATCTTTACTTTCAGTCCCAGTCTCATTACAGCTCCTGAGAGGTATGAGCTGTCACATTCCGCGTGGACGGTTTTCAGAGGCCCACCGTCGAAGTGAGAGCATCTTCAGCACACTTAGTCATCAGTGCCATTTGGTTGCATTAGTCACTCAGCAGCGGCCCGCGCTTTTGACTTTGGTGTTCCCCTCTTACCATCGTTGCACTGCGGAGACAGTCCGATCCTTTCTTGCCCTCTCTCTCTCTCTTCTTCACGTCACAACCTCATCGTGTGTCAACTTGAAGTGTTCTTTCACGGGGGTTCAGCCCTGCCCCCCCTAAATCTGAATGAACCTGGTCGCAGCAGCAGCAAGGTGCGTAACCCCTCGCTGCTGATGCTCGACTATCTTCTCTGTCGCGCGTTCATTTCCTTCACATCCTCTCTCCTTCTCGCTTCGCTCATGGGTGATCGATCGCACTGGCCCGCAAGTGCGTACAGCAAGCACGCAAACACTCGAACACGCAAGCACCGACCACGCTCAAGACACGAGCTCGTCTCTCCCTCGCCTACCTGCGCAGTGCTCTCACGCTTTTCAGTAACACGGAGCACGAGAGACGCCTAGCTCACCTGCCACCCTCCTCGTACGGGTTCGGCTTAGATATCCTTCCCCCACAGCCGCCGGCTCCCAATAGCGTACTGCATGCAACGCAGGCGGGCGCACAATGCACGCTCTCAACTGCTCCCCCGTCAGAGCGACTGTAACCGCCTTCGTCTGCTTGTCACGTGCGGGGTACACCTTGCTTGTATGGAGAGAGTTCCCCCCCGTCCGAATGCTTTCGCTGTTCGTTCGTTGCCTTGACTATATCTAGTCCTGAGAACCACGCCACCGCCTCAGTAGGGTCTCGGCCTGGCCAAGTCTCTGCCGGGACAGACTCGACATACACGAGGGCCTCCGTACCATGATGAATGAATCGACGAACCCGCTTTGGTACGTAAGTTCTCGACCGAATTTTCAAAGGAACAACAACAGTGCGGCCACGCCGTGACCAGAAGATTATCACTCGTAGCCATCCCAGGCTCTATGCCAAAACAGAGAGGAGTTGTCAAGTTGCCCCTATGTCAGCGCCGAGTCGAAACCGGTCAAGTGTCGTGCCAAAGTTTCACTACTCAGCAGCCTCACGACAGGCCCTTCATCCGAGTTAGTTCGTCACACCTCAGTCGTGCCAGCGGCCGAAATCACCATGTCGGGCAGCCAGCGATCTGATCTTATGATGGAGCGCGGTACCGGACCAACACCGAGCCTGCAATATACACCCGTGAAAATGCCGAACCCGAAGTAAGTATCTGTGACAACGCGGAATATGAAATAATAAGACTGCAATGACACCGATACGGGAATAATCCGGCACCAAGGTTCCGATCCTGATACGGACTGCACTAGTGTCCGCGGGTCCGAAAATAAACCATGCCGAACCTGAAACGTGTCGTTGCCGAGTCAAACCAAGCCTGAAAACGATAGTCGCGAATAAATGATCGCGGAACATGAAACGGACTGCCGTAGTGGCCCCGGGCCTGATCATGATCCGCCGCTGGGGCGCCGAACCTGAGATAAATCACCACGATGGTCCTAAACCTGATAATAATTCCAGCCGATGTGCCCAAAGTAAACTACCTTGGTGGTCCCGTATCTGAAGATAAATCACCCTGTGTCCGACCTGAATTAAAAACCCACGACCGACCGTGGAATAATCTGCCGTCAAGGTTCCGAACCTGACAATGAATCATCATAGTATCCCCGAACCTGAAACAACTCGGTGTAGTGGTTCCGTACCTGAAGTATCCTGTCGTCAGGGTTCCAAACCCGGGCATAAATCGCTGTAGTCGCCGCGAATCCGAAAATGAGTCGCCGTAATTGCCTCGAGCCCGAACAAACTGTCGCCGAGCTTATACCGAACCTGAAGCTCGTAAGATACCGTAGGATGCAACCACTCCATAACAAGGTCGAATCTCTCTGAACCGCATACCCGTACCAAGCCATATACCATACTGTCGACCCAAGGTTGCACCGTCCCACGCCGTCCATGCGAGCATCCTCGGTGTAATCTCAGTGGGGTTAGTAATCAGGTGAATCGGGAAGGCAACACGGTAAATCTCGACCATCTGGGGATCGTAAAAAAACTAGAGTGTAGAGAATTTGATTAAATCTGGGTTATGAGTTGGCGGTGGGTAATCAAACAAAATCAGTCCAGGCATCGAATGACCATAAGCTCCAGTGCGTCCGATCATTCTTAATCATTTTTTCCTTCTTTTAACTCTATTGTTTTAATTGGTGAAATAATCGTAAGTTCACAAAAATTTAATTTTCGAGGGGGTTTTAATTGAATAGTTAAAATTCTTTGTTTCTCTTTCCTTTATCATTTTTAGTTTTTTTCTTTTGTTTTTAATTTCATTGCCGGAAACGTAAAATAAGAAGATATTTTCCCCAAAATTCAAAGGCCGCGAAAAATACAGAAATTAAGGAATATTTCGTTTTTCTCTTATCTCCTACTATTCTTAATCTTTTCTCCCATTTTTAATTTAAGTACCAAAGTTGACAAAAAATTGGGTTGTCATTCCAGCCCCGGTCATACCTCGTAAAAGCATTGCGTCGGGAACAGTTCCCTCAATACCTCCCCGCGGCCGGCCATTTCGGGTCTAGCCTCAAAACAAACAGAAACTACGACCCCTAGACATGTCGAGACCGGCTTCCCATTTAGCCGTTTTCAAGGGTTACTTTTGTCAGACGTCATGGTGAAATTGGAGAGATTCTCGAGATTCTCGCCGTTCACCTACGTACGATCGTAGGGACAGAGGAGATAGACACCGAGATGAGTGGCGTGAGCCACAAGGTCGCGAGCCAGCGTGGAGAGATAGAGACAGGCCTCATGAGAGGGGTACGTCACCGCAATGGGTCTTTGACCCACAGAGGGGCGAGTCGCACACCCTTCCGTATGGGAAGGGTGATCCCTACATCATAACTCACCCCTCGACCGCATTGGACACCAGACCTCCTGTCTTTAAGACACGCGGGAATACTGAATACCTCGAGAAGTGGGAACTCCATGCATATTGTAATCAATGGACGGAGGATGAGATTATTGATAATCTATTATTCAACTCCGATCCGAGCCTGAGCCAGGAGATCAAGGAGGCGCGTCCGGCCGACAGGAAGTGGGCCATGTACAAGAAAAATTTGTACGAGCTCTACAAATTAGAGGACAGTCGATACTCAATCAAAGACCTGGAATCGATGACTATAGAAGAGGACGAGAGTGTTCGAGCCTTCGGGAGGTGATTCCAGAAGGTTTCGGACGCTCTAATCAAGAGAGGGAAGCTTTCTGAGGTGGAGCGATGTACGATTTTCATTGCGCGGCTGCCAAAAGGGAAGCAGAAGGTGATACTCCAAGAACTTCCCCATGACGAGCTAGAGTTCACGACCGTACTCAAACTGGCAATGAAGGCCGAGGCGGATGACCACACGGATCTGGTCTGGAAGGGGTTAAAACAGAGGGATGTCCCCCTCTTGAGGGATTATGAGACTGATTGATGCCCAGACTTTCGTGACCAACCATGAGCGGATCGTCGGTTCCAGTTCGATGATGATAGACCGCGCCGTTCATGAGACAAAGAGTCAATTATGGCAGAGATGAGAGAAATAATGAGAGGGATAGCCAGAGAGATTACAGGTGCGGACGCTAGGGCACCTGGCTATCGTGACAAGCCTGGATCCCCGTATTCATTACGATGGGATCGCAGGAATTCCGATCCTTGGAGGAGTGTAGAGGATAGGAACCCCCGCACGCTCGCAGACTATCGAGCTCGTGAGAGGGCCGAGGATGATCCCTGGAGGCGGAGAGATGATGAGATCGATAGAGATCGTCGCATCGACCGATATCGCCAGGAGGATGGGTATTACAGAGGTGGACGATTCGAGTAGTACCCACGAAGCCCTAGGTACGACTAGAATCCTGATGGTTTCCGGAGCCCTGGGAACTTTACGCACAGGGAAGGAGGAGATTTCCGCGGACACTGGGAACCTGATGGGGATTGCAGAGACGGATATCGTGGAGGATATGATAGGGCGGATAGAGGCGGAGACAGACGAGCCGACTCCAGAGGAGAGAGACGTGCCGACTTTAGAGGAGACAGGCGTGATGATTCTCGAGGGGAACGGCGAGACGATTCCCGTGGGCGATATGACCGAGGAGGGTATCCTGGATCGTCAGGGTATCCAAAGTCACCCACTTATCCTAGGTCGCCAGGACCATCCAACCAGAGTGCCAGAGCACCGGGAGGACCGTCGCCTAGAGCCGGAGAGGACAGACCACCTACCCCGAGGAGTACTTGCGTCTACTGCAAGGCGGATGACCATGTCAAAAGGGACTGCCCCGACCTCAAGCGGGCAGTAGACGATGGGATCGTAGTCCTTGACGACCGAAAGTACGTCAAGTGGGCGGATGACCTAGGAGATGTCTCAATGTTTCCTTCGATGAAGGAAAACATCGACGCGAGAAGTACGCCCCAGCAAAGGGAAGGAAGTAGCGAGGAGTCGAAGCATCAGGATACTGATGTCGTCAAACGAGGACGAGCCTACGACGCCTATCCGAGTTGCGGCGACGAAGTCCACCAGACCATCATCATAAAAAAAAACGGACACCGATTATGTGATGGTAGAAAAGGATGGACAGAGGATTGATGGACAGGAAGTAATACTGTCACCACGGAAGTGCGGAGCTCGCAAGTTGACAATGAAGAGCTCATTGGATGATATTGATACAGTCTCTGACGGGCGCTTAGACAGCCCATGCAGTGCTCGATACTCGACTACTTGGCGGCTTCCAGACCGGCGGGAGACGAGCTATAGATGATCACGAGGAAGACACGCATCCCTCTTGGGGATGAGGCACAGGTGGCACCGGAACCGGAGGCCCCAACTGTGGCAGTTTCGAGTGTGACCGCCAAGGCAGACCGTGCGGCGACGGTGTTCCTTGATGGTAAGGAAGGGGTGCCTCCCGACAAGTTTTATATCCTAGGGAGCGCAATGGTCGAGGTCATTCATGACGATGAGGAGACCCTTGAAGGGGTGATCAACAATGGAAGTGAGGATGTCATTATAGACGAGGGCCTCGCTGTACGGCCAGGGCTCGACTTAGACAGATCCTACCGTTTCGAGATCGAGACTGCAGCGGGAAAGAAGCAGAAAGTCACCGGTGTTTGTCACAAGGCGGCGATAGAGGTCGATGGATTGCGCATTGAGATGCCAGTGTTTGCTGTCAAAGGCTGCAATTCAGAGCTACTCTTAGGACGCACCTAGTTGAGTCACGTTCATGCTGTCACGATAGAGCGACCAGACGGGAGCCAGATGCTATCGATTAAACGACCAGATGGTGGTCGGATAATGATAGAGACAGTCGAGTCTCGCGATCCAAGGAACAGAGCAACTTTAGCCGCCAAAGGAGAGCCTGCCAGGATTGCCCTCGGTAGTCGATCCTTCCAGTTCCGTGAGAAGAAATACGGACCGCTACTGACCGAGGAAGAAGGGCGCATCGTCGAGATCGAGGACCTGGGCAACCGTATCCTCGTGAAAGGGGACTCCTATCTGAAGGACGAAGATGAGGAATTCGGAGGGATGATCTCCGTGTCGTTTTTAAGGGACCATCCCCCTACGGGGGGCGACCTAAGAGACACAAGACAGTAGCTCAGAAAGTTAAGCCGGCAGCGGTAGCTCGCGAGCGATCTGCGCATGATCGGGTATCAAAGGAGGAGATTGCTAGAGAGATCAAGGAGATCGCTAGAGAGATCAAGGAAAAAAGAAAGAAGAAAGAGCTGCAGCGGTTAACTGATGAGAGAATAGCACAGATGGACATAGGAGACGGAAACCTAACGGAGCAGGATAAAGAGAGAGTCCTAGAGTTTCTTAAGACATGCGACAAGGCTATAACCTTTAGTGACGCTGAGAGGGGCAGGATTGATCCTAGGTTCGCGCAGCCTGCCAGGATCTATACAATTCCGCATACCCATGGAATGACTCGGGATGGAAGTTTGCACAGAAGGAGAAGGAAGAAGTGATAGTTTTTTTGAAAGAGAAGATGGCATCTCATGTAGCCGAGCCATCAGATAGTGCCTACGCGAACTGTTGGTTTTTCATACGAAAACCGAATGGCAAGATTCGCTGGATTGAGGATCTTCAGAAAGTGAATGCGGTTACCATTCGGGACATCGGATCTATACCACATGCCGATTTATTAGCAGATGGAGCTGCGGGCAGGTCGAGTTATTCGGTCTCTGACCTATTTTCAGGATATGACGAGATACCGTTGGACCTTAGAGACCGGCATCTCACGGCGATGCACACGCCACTCGGACTAGTCCAGATGATGGTGGTGCCTATGGAGTCGCAGTGTTCCAGAGAGTCATGGTGGCTGTCCTGAAAGACTTTATACCGGATAAAGTTGAAGTCTTTCTAGACGACTTCCCGATCAAGGGACCAGTACTTAAAGATGAAACTGCGGTTGCGCCTGGAGTCAGAAGATTCGTAGAGCAGCACCTAACTGACATCTGCGCGATACTTGAGCAATTGGATGAGGCGAACCTGATGGTTAGTGAAACGAAGAGCAAATGGGCGGTGTCGTCGATCAAAATATTGGGCTTTATCTGTGATTCGAGATGACGACGAGACGACTCGACCAAGCTGGACAAGCTCTTGAATTGGCTGACGCCGCTGCACAGTGCAACGGAGGTCCGCCAATTCTTAGGAGTTGTGGGGTACTGGAGGATCTTTATCCGAGCATACGCAGAGAAGGCGGAGCCGCTACGGATTCTCCTTAGGAAAACGGAGAAATTTTACTGGGATTCCTCTCAGGAACTCGCGGTCTTAACACTTAAAGAAGAATTCAAGGAGGTACCATTCTTCGACGACGAGACCAATAGGCCATTCATAGTATCTACGGATGCTGGGCCATGCTCAGTCGGAGGGCTGCTCTCGCAGAAGGACGCTGAAGGGAAGGAAAGACCGTTGAGATTTGAAAGTTGTACGCTCAACACAGTGGAGCGCAACTACAGCCAATTTAAGAAGGAGGTATTGGCATTCTTGCGATGCCTAGACGCGTTTAGGCATTACATTTATGGACGACGATTCATCCTACGGGTCGATCCTACTGCGGCAGCATTGGTCCTACAGAAGGACTTCACCTTGACCGACCCTACGATCCCAAGATGGCTGATCAGGATTCGACTCTACGACTATACTGTCGAGAGGGTCTCAGATACAAAGAACGCTGTGGCTGACGGACTTTCGAGCATCCCTATCGAAGCCGAACGACGAATAGCGGTGACAGCGCTGACGATTGCTGAACCCAAACACACCGATCAGTTCTTAGTAAATCTCTATGAGGGGAAGTATCGTGTGATCGGGTTGCACCTATCTGGCGAGGAGAGCCTAGACTCGGAGATCCGCAGACAGGCTGCCCGGTACTGCTTGAGAGTTGGACAACTTTTCCGTAGACCCATCGGGTCAGGGATGCCCTTGAGGGTAGTCTGTGATCCGGAGGAGAGACATGGGATAATAGTTGAGCTTCACGATGGGGTTGTCGGTGGACACAGAGGAGTGAAAAGTACGTACGAGAAAGTTCGCAGACTATACTGGTGGGAAGGACAGTACAAGGACGTTGAGACATACTGTGTGACTTATGAGGACTGTCAAAAGAGGTCCCTTGTCAGATACACGGAGCCCTTACATCCGTCCTATCCTACTAGACCCGGCAAGAAGGTACATATCGATCTAATGAAGATGCCGAGGGGCGTCAGGAACATGAACTATGTCGTAAACATCAGAGATGACTTCAATGGATTTGTCGACGGTAAGCCCTTGAGAACGAAGGCAGCTAAAGAGGTTAAGAACTTTGTCCTAGAATACCTATCAAGGTACGGGTGTGTCAGTAAGATCGTGATGGACCGAGGGACAAAATTCTTAGCAGACGAGGTACAGACTGTGTTCAAGAAGGTTGGGGCTAGAGTGTCGATAGCTACTGCCTATCACCCTCAGTCCAATGCGCCGGTAGAGAGAGGGCACCAGTCACTGATAGCGTCATTGGCTAAGTGGTGCAGGGGTAAAGATAGCAACTGGCCGAAATACTTCCGATACGCGATATGGGCAGACAATGTCACCGTTCGAGCGAGCATGGGATATCCACCATATACTCTTTGGTTTGGGAGGCACTGTCCTCTGCCAATAGAGTTCCACGTAGACAGTTGGACTACGGTTGATTGGGCTGATAATATGACACGAGAGGACCTTCTAGCAGCTATGAGTAGGCAAATAGCATACGGACTAGAGGATGAACTCATGACGACCGCGAATCGGTTGGCAGTTGAGAGAGAGAAAAGCAAGGAGAAGTGGGACAGAGATGTTAGAATCCGAAAGGAGAGGATAAAGGTCGGCGATATGGTGCTTCTGTACGACGTGGCACTAGAGAGGACTTGGACAAGAAAACTAGCTAACAGATGGATGGGTCCCTACCGTGTAGTCAAGGCTTTGACCTGGGGAGCTTATATGATTGCGGAGCTAGATGGATCTAGATGGAAGGATCCCGTAGCGGGGGCAAGGTTGAAGTTATTCAGGCCTAGGGAGACTCCTGCCCCTACCCTGAGACTATCTGATCCGAAAGGAAAAGGCAAGACGAAGGTGATGGACGATAGAGTATTGAGGCGGTATGAGGTAGGTGAAAGCTCGAAGAAAAGGAAGAGAGTGGAAACAAAGAAAGTCAAGGGCTTGACTTTGGGGAAGAAGAAGAAATGGCTATTTGTGTTACGGAGACCTAAGCGTCGAGTCCGTGTGAGACGAGGGGGAGCCCCTACGAGCGAGCTTCTCCGACGAGGGAAGAAGGCAAGAAAAGCAGCCATGCCTAAGCCCAAGCGACCGCGGCGTAAGAAGGAAGAGAATCATCCCCTTAGCCCCAGAGTTCCAAAGAAACCAAAACCGCGGACAGAGAGACACCGACATGGACTGCGCGCGAGTGTGATTATCCTAGATCTTGTTCGTTTCATTTGATGGAGACTGCGGGCTCGACGGGGGCGTCGAGAAGAGGTCCGGGCTTGTTTGTTGGGCGATCGAACCCCAGTCAGTCACCCTAAATTCGGCTGATTCACCTCTAGATTGGAAGGTAAGACGGGATTAGATTAGGACTTTCGCCTGACGTGCCAGGAAAAATTAGGGGAGGTTCCGTCCTGACCTCCATCCGGGCTGCAGTTTGCGTCCTCTCTAATATCTCCTGTGATCTCTCCAAGGACCTCTCTAGAGGCCTCTCTGATGGTCTCTTCAGAGGTCTCTTAGGCTCTGCGAGAATCGGCCCGCCCATCACTTCGGGTTCGCCGTCGTCAGGTTGTGTACACCTGAGTGGCCTGATACGCTCCTTGAGCTCGCGTAGGGCTTTGTCTGGCGATGTCCGATAGGTACTCGTCTAGGGTTCCATGTTCGGGTGTGTCCCCATTGCGTCAGATTCCATACGTCGGCCCGAATCTCGTCGCCTACTGCGGCAGCCCAGACCTATGGAATAATCTGCAGCTCGGACCTATGAAATAATCCGCAGCCCGGACCTATGCGATCCTCCGGTCGCATAGCTCGTCAGTGCTCAATCACTAGTCCGCGACAGCCCTCAGAATCGCTACGAGTCCCCCGGTCTCATCCCGTATCTCGTGCTCACCCTCCGTACCAAGAATCCCAAAATCAAAATAGAGTTCTCCCCCTTGCTCCTCTATGCAGCAAATACCTCTCCTGATCTCTGGCACTCCCGTCTCCGGTACCCGCACTCTCCTGCAGATGGCAGTCGCGATCGTCCTCAACTCCTCCGGGGTACAAGATTGTAACCGCTCCCGTATGTCGATAGACGCTCTCCTCTCTAGATCACTCAACCCTCGATGCACGACGCGGGCTCCTGCCTGCGGATAATCACCCCCTACGGCCATCAAACTTTCGACACCGAAGGGCTAAATCAATCACAGTTCCCTTGTTCCTTTCTTGCGCCACTTGGTGAGGTACTAGTGGCCTAGGCAACCCCTGAAAGAGTGCTATCCGAGTGTCCCAGATAACCTCCTTACCCAGAGCTAGCAACGTATCTCGCTCATTTTCCACCAGTTCTTCTGCGCGCTCCCAGCATCTACCGTAGATCCGGTCGCTCCCTCTCTCTACTGGGAGATAAATCCTAACGTCGTACACGTCGATAGTAAGGAACCGGACTGTGATAACATAGAGGCGTATCTGCCCCCAACCGCTGTCGACTAACTCGTATGTGACCATCTCGTACGGAATTACCTCTTTGCGCCCTATTGAACTCAGTCGCTCACAGATTGCCTCTAACTCCTCGTCTGATGGTCTATTGCCTGCAAGGAACCTCTCTCTCCTTGCCTCCAACTCCGTCTCAGAGATGGTCATACCTTCACT